AAGTAGGTCTGATTTAATTTGCCCTATTTTGTTCTCAAGACCTTATTTTTCCCACTCAGTCCTTTTAATGGCCAAATATGCAATCTTTGAGGCAGGAATAGTGGCCGGTTAGAAGCACTGAAAGTTCATCCAACAAATAAATAGATATTAAATAAAATAAAATCATTTGTGACTTGCTAAGTAATACTGTTATGAGAACGAGTCCTACCATTGTCGTGGTGTATCTGACACTAAGTGCTGCTAGGCCACAATTCACTAAACCAAGACAGAGGTTGCACTTACTCAAAATCGATTTAGTAGGATTTAAGTTAGACGGAGAAAAAAGGGGTGAGCGATAGACTTACCTCCACGTTGTGCACCCTGGGCAACGTATACTCACACGGCAAAAAAGTCTATTAACTGGCAGTTGACTTCTGACTTCAAGCTACCATGACCCCACTGTATGTTTTATTCGACCCCTCCACAGTACTCATCTAGTCTTTTCTCTGCCTTTGTGTCTGTCTCTCTGTCTCTTACATCTGTGAATCGCTCTTCTTTTCCCTTGTCGAATTTTTCTCACTTTAATGTTCCTCCCTTCTGTGAAGCCCGAAGTCAGCTAAAGGGCTAATGATAACTATCAATATGTGCCATTTCAAAAAAAAGTTAGTTGGTTTAAAGCAGAATATGATAAATATCTGTCTCGATGAGGAAGGAGTTGTGATTGACCTAAGTGTCCAGACCCTCAAATCACCATGTCCCCGCATGTTAATCTGACTGAGACCAACCCGTGCGTATTTCTCGTTTTTTTTCAAAAGTGGATTGGTGCTGTAGCTTAATGCTGACAGCTCCTTATAACATTTCATTTTAAGAAGGCCATATTTGGCAATAAATTTAGTCAAACCGAATCAGCTATTTTTTAAGTAACATCCCTTCAATAAAATGGAGAAACAAACTCTTTCGAAATCGCTTTTTCATGTATTAAAACATAAAGACCCCTAGGACTCCCAGTTGTTACATGAATTTCTTGAAAAATAATGAGTATATGTGAATCAATGTGTTATGTGAGTCCCAAATGACGCACAAATACGCATTCGCATCACGTGACTAAAGTGAGTCATTACTACAGGTCTGGACACTTGCTGTTAACAAGTCTTGAATGCACCCACGCTTTCACGAGGCTTTAGTTACCACGGTCGACTTATCAATTTGACTGTTCCACCAAAGCAGATAATAAAAACGTTGATTAAGATTCTGGTTCAAACTTTCTGTTAAGCGCTCTGCTAAATACTAATTACTAGAAATCGTAAATGGCACTGATTTCGCCACTTTTAGAAATCTTGGAAATTGCATTTGTTCTGGCCAGGAGGAGGTATTTCAAGGCACCCGATTGGATCGGCGGGCATTTCGTAGGGAGTTAATGGTGTCTATCGAAGCATTTGAGAGGAAAATGCTGAATCAGTCACCATCACAGGCAAAAACCGAAACCGCTATTAGCCTAATGTCGTGCAAGAGTAAGTTATCGAAAAACAATACTGTTCTCACTTTAAAGTGAAGTAATATAACTTTTAAATACTAAATTGTCTAAAAGACAACCTAGACCATTTAAAAAATTAGCTACTATTAATTAAATAGCACTGATTCAAATAGAATCTTTGACCTTAATCATTATTTTCTTAAAATAATTGTTAATGAAATATTTAGATAATATTATATATTTGTTGATAATGCTATTTCACATTTCGCCCAATTAGTGGAATTGGTATCCAATTAAAAAACTCCACTTATTATCATTTCAAATTCACTTCAACAATGAGTATAATAGTAGAAATTAAAAAAGGTCAAACATCTGAGGCTTAGAAGAGCAATATGACATTAGCATTTGTTCGTCTAGGCGGATTTGTTAATTAAATAACCCGAATTCACCACCAACCACCGGCGCATTGGACTCGCATATTAAAATAATGAGGAAATGGAGAATTTTATTAATCATAAAGAACAAAATAACATCTGGATCAAATGCATTAAAAAATTCTTTCCGATTCTACATGTATAATAATCTAAATAAAACAATAGTGAAATATTAGCCTCCGTACTGAAATTATTGATCAAATGGGTATTTCACCATCTTGATTTCCTACTTCACGTATTGACCTACGCCATTTTCCCAATTTAGCACTGGATAGTCGACGGCCAAAACAAATGAAGGTAAATAAAAGTGAAATTTATGAATGATTTCAACTAAGATATGAATAAATGAAGTCGGTTTTTTTTAGTCCAAGCACAGCATAAATGCCTTTGGTGTGGTCGTAATACGGAAGCCCTATCAACTCCAGAATCCTGAGGACTCAAGTCGCCTTGTACGAGAGTTCACCGAACGATTGCACAGAAGTTCAATGAGAGCCTCGATCAGAAGCAATCTCCCAATTGTTTGAGCTTTAAAAAGGAAATGGAATTGCCTATTATTTTGAAATTATTTATTTGAAAGTAATGAACTATATCATACGTTTAAAGGGATTGTTTGCAAAATATGAGGCAACAAAATAGGTTTAAAGACTGGGAGAAATTTGTCCGTAATAAAAAGGAATATGTTCAAATTTTTAAGAAATATGTTGGCTTTCGATGATGACAAGAAATGGAAAAAATCGTGCTTTCCAAAAATGTAATAACTACTAAAATCATTATATGGTACCTAGGTTTAAAATTGAGCCGTCAAATGTCATTTGGTTTGCTAGAAATGCCAGATTATTAGGTGCTTGAACTTAATCCCTCATATTTGTAAAAAATTTGCCTGGATAAAGGCCTTTATAATTATTGTTTCTGTTGTACGATTTTGAAGTAAGTGATCCATTGTTGAAGATTATTCGTTATCAGTATCTCCCCAATAAGTGGACTGCAATGATTAATTATTCCTGTAAAATTATCAACAACTTCAGAAATTCCCATAAACAAAAAGATTAATGTTTTTATCCATATTCGTATCAGCAGTCTGTTTAAATTGTCACCTCCAACAACATTTATTGAGATAATAGGTAAAGGTAAAGCAAACGAAACATCTTATTGTATGTCAGAACCTAAACATTATGAATTGATTTTCCAGCAACTTAAGGAAAATGAGTTATCAATAAAAGGATTTTTTACATGGCACTGAGAGAAATTGCAATACATTCAAGTGAAGAATCAGAGAATTTCGATTGAATTAATTAAGTTGTTCAGTCAGCTTTGTTAAAAGTTTGCAGATTAGAATAAATTCTAAGAGACTGAATAAAATCTAAAGAGTAACTTGAGCCATTTAAGCTATGAAGTTGCAGATAGTAAAATAAATATTTGATAAGAATTAGGCAGTAGAAATATTCATTTTTATTTATAAGGCAAAGCAAAATTGACAGAATGACGAACAACACAAGGTGAGGTAAATATAAACTTCCCCACATCACAAATACAATTAACAGTGAAAATAAAACTTTCGTTGAAAAAAACTTGAAAAATTGCACTATTCGAGAAAGTCAAGGTTTGATTAATTGTTCTATTATTATTTGATAGCGATAAAGTTATCACAATTGTGCAAATAACCAAATTTATTTGAGGTTACGGTAGTCATTCATATCATCAAAAATTTAGAGGTCGACTAAAGAATAATAGTGATGCTAAATATAAAACACATAAAAATCATCGGTTTAAATGTTTGCATTAATAAGATATAACCAAAAGAAAATAGTCTGCAATATTTTTGGTTCTAAAAATCTTAATTTAATTTTTCCATACCTGAGGATCATATAGTGAACTACTGTATAAGAATTAAAAGCACTGATAATCTTAAATTATGATAACGTGTGACTGTTCCGAAACTATTTGACGATTATTTACTAACTACCTTTTGAAAATGTGGGTTGTTTTATATCACAGTTTTTAAATCGCCCGCCGTGATTGAATCCATCGGACCGCCATTGTTGAATAGTGTTTTATGTATGTTACCTTATACTATGTAGTTTATTCGAACGTAATACTTAGAATGCTTTAATAAATCCTTTTATTTTTCAATTACAGGAGAAATATTAATCCTTTTAATGAGGTGTTTATGAATCACCTGAAATATGTCGCACGCTGGTGATGATACAGGGGAGAACTCTTCTCCAATGCAGGCTTGGAATAGAACACCGGGTAATTATAGTTGTGTTTTGTTTATATGGGAACTTCTAAGCATTATTTAATTGTTACATATTATAGGAAAGCCAAATTTTCCTAATTTGCCTTCTGCCGCTTCCTGGGGAGGGAAGAAAAAAGCAAACTCAAATACTGTGGATTCTACAACTAATAATGATGTTTGGCCTATGATATCGGATTCATCTTTAGGTCGCAAAAACGAACCTTCTCAATGGCCCACTCCTGCTGAGTTGGCTGGAACAGGGCGTGGGGACTCGCTCAACGATTTTAATCTTGCCAATTCTGTAAGTGTAGTTACAATTAGTTTAAGTACGAGTCTGAAATTTTGGTTGTTAATTTTTCGGCTTAAATTGTAAGTGGACTCCTCCGAATGCGTCCCTAGCGCTTCGTTCTTTGACTGAATCAGATGATCGTAGTGATCCATGGCCAAACGTAGACGCAGTTCCTCATTCGTCATCGTCTCACCCATCTATTGATCTACCTGCATCCAGGACTATCTCTACTTCTGGTGATAGTGCATTTACTTCCCAACGCCAGCGAATTCAAAGCATGACAAAACCGCGAAATGAAAGCTTTTCCAGTTGGGGATCTCCAACTGACGGGGATTTTAGTGCATTTGCAAGTGAGTTGCAACTGTTTTTGAAATTATTTTTTGTATATCACTGTCTGCCATCTCATCAGGTAGTTTGTTTTTTTCTCCAATATTCATTTATTTAGCTTGTTTCTACTCGAATGATTTTGTTCACATTGCGGTATCATCGGACTCTGATTATAATCTAGTGCTACTTTTTTATGCTTGTTTTGAATTGTAGATTAGAAAATTTGTCCAAAGTAACTTATATCCTTCTTTGTCTTTCCCTTATGTGGCATTTTTGGATTTTCTAGTTGCCCGTATCTTCAACGTTGGCCATTTTTTATTTACACGAGACGGACGTTTTATTCCTTTTCTAATTGGAACTTTTGCCTCTGATTGAATGCGTAAAAGCTAGAAGAATTATAGCTTAAAAGGATTACAGATTCCTGTACTTCCAATGCTAGACGTTTTATCATTTAGCTCTAATTGCGTGTACCTTAAAAGCTTGTTTTTTTTGGTTCACCCAATTTTCTTTTATTCCATCTTATGTCATCTTGTTTGTAATCGAGATCCGTTTTCTGATTTCGGTTATATATCTCTATTGATCATTTTTTAGTTACCTTTTTGCTTTGAATTTGATATTTTTTATCATTTATTCTTTCTAATTATTCGGGGAAAATTCCTTCTGTTATTAATTTTTGATGTACTTCGAAATTGAGTATTTGTATACATTCCTCTACGTCTGGAATTGGGGCTTTCTGTTATTAGGAAGTAGAGCTTCGGTCCTAAACAACTTTGCCAACGTGTCCTAGCGTTTTCTATTTAGTGCTCTCGCTGACTTTTGCCCAATCTTTATTTAAATCTGTGACTCCTTACTCCGTGGATGAACTATTAATTCTTCTGGGTATTACTAGCCTAAATTTTATTACCCTTGAGGGTTGACTTATCCTCACTAGCAACTCGGAAATCCAAACCTTGTCTATATCAGGTTACTTAATGGCTACTTTTTCCTCATCACTAGATCAATCACTTCCATCTACCTCTGAAAATAAATTATCTAATCAGCAAACATCCGGGGAGGGTATCTGCTCAAGTGTCTCTGACTCTGGTAACCACTCAGAAGGTCAGAATGAGAATCTTATACATGCTCTCATCAACTCCAAAGAATGCTGGGGACGACGACCTATTGATCAAACCACTCCATGGGATTTATCCGCTCTAAACGAAGAGCTAGTTAGTGTTGCTAATTCTGTTACTGCAGCCCCAGCTGTGAATTCCAACTCAAATCAGAGCCTGCTGGGGGATGCCGTTTCCCTTTCAGCAGCTGCTAGACAACGTCGTGGAGTGATGAAACCTGGGAACGTTCCAGTTGCAGTTCCATCAGAATCGAATGTGTGGTCAAGTGAACCACCTAACGGGACAGGAATATGGGAGATGCATTATGAGGGCGGTGGTCAAGGTGAGAGTAGGGCGACAAATAGGTGGAAAACACCTGGTGCCACCTCCGTTGTTCCTTCTTTAAATTCACCTCCCGGAAGTCATCGAATGGTTCCTCCATCGAGTTCATTTATTAACCCCCCTGCTGTACCCCAACAGCAACCCACCCCAGCGGCATCACGTGGTTTCCAAAACAGTGCTTTCTTCCCACCAAGTGGTCCCCAACCCCAACAGAGGCTAGGACAATCTGCTACCGGAGGTCAACAGCCTCCACCTGGAACTGGTCGTGGTCCACCGAATGGAATGTTTGGGCCTGGTTCCAGCAGCGCATTCAAAAGTCAGGGTATTCCTCAGACTTCCTCTGGTTGGCCACCACTCTCTCTCACTCCTGATAATCAAAGTAGGTTAATTGCCATTTTGGCTTTGTTATATTTTGCTGGTGACTTTTCAGGTTTATAATTTAGTTTTATAAGAAGAAATGTAGCTTTGAAATTTATTTTTAAATTTTGATCGTTACTCATAAAATCGAAGGTTTCGTTTAGTATCTTTTTCATTAGAGGTTTATTTTGATTTTGCACTCCCTTTTTGACATTTTCTGTTCATTTGATTTATTTTTAAATTGATATGGTATGCAAAATACGATTTAGTCAGTGGGTTTCTAGCTTTCCAATTCTGAATATTCTACGAGGCTGTTTCCTTTCCTATATTTGACCTTGGTTTAATTCGGAAAGTTCTATTCCCGGAAGCAATCTTATCTCATTTCAATGAGAAGCCTTGAAATTGGTACAAAGTGACATATGCTCACGACAAATTGTATTAGATGTGGGGGTTTAATTAAATTAAAAATTCAGTAGTGTGGCAGTTAAAACAAGTATCCAAAAATAATAATTTGCATTGCTTTCAGTCAGTAATTTGCCCCATCTAGTTGATACATTTTTATCTTGACAAATTTGTGTGTTTTTAAATCTAGTTTCTTGAATGCTGGCTTAACGAATGAAGATCTTAGTCCCAACTCTTCATTAATTCGTTTAGATAATCAAAGCCTCCGGTTCTTGCCTTTGCAGCTCCAAAGTGATTGGTCATTTTATTAGTAAATTTTGTTTTTAATTTAATTCTCCGCCAATTGTTGTCCATTTTATATCTTATTTCTGCGCCATTCGTTTCTGACAATTGCCCTGGATTTGCAAAGTATATGTAAATACACTAAACTATGTCCTCACATGCTTGCCTTGTGCCATGTATAGATATTGGCTTATTGAACAAGTGAGCTCTTCTTTAGGTCCTATGGAAGATGCCAAACGATTCCTTGTGCCCTCAGGTCCCTGGGGTTCGAACGATCGTGTGTTGGGCAAGCCACAACCACAGACGGGTCAGCAATTGCCGCCCAGTCTTGTTGGTGGTGAGAGCATGCCCCGCTGGCCATCATCGTCAATCGATACTCTTTCTCATGCTGGGATCTCAGGCTGGGGTCAGCAGCAGCAAGATTTCCGTTCCCACAAATTCGTTCCATGGTCACAGTCTCAAACAGTGGCAGCACCACCACAGCGCTTTCATCTCCGACAACAAAATACCTCCAACTCTTCAGGTGAGGCCACTTTTGTATTCTGGTTACCTTTATGAACTTATCTTCTAAAACAGTTTTAAAATTGTATTAAAAGATATTCTTATTTATAAAGAATTGGGTGTAAATTTATGGATTGTGAACAGGTGCTCTCTGGTAATATGCGCCATTTTCTTTCGTAGAGCCTTGTCATCGGAACCATGTTTTCTTTCTCATAAATGCATTTCAATGCTTTTGCACGATACATCAAGAGTCCTCTAATTTCGAGTGCTATTCGTGTTCTCTCACATTATCAGCAAATACTTATTCTACATTCGGTAGTATAACTCTCTTCCATTCCTAACCAAAACAAAGATATGTGCTCATCTGAAGCTGTTTCTTATTATTAAATATAAGTAAGACTACAAGCAAGTTTTTTTATTATGAAGCCTTGAGATATTTGTTGTTTCATGGTTCGTCTGTTTTAAGAGATCAAGATGGCAGATTTGAGGTGTAAAAGTGCCAACGCATTATGATCTCGCCAAAGTGCATCAAAAGAAATACAGTCCAATTTTATTTAAGAAAGTAGTAGTTCTTAGAGTGCACGGATGCGCTGATAAGGAAGACAAAATTGGCGTTGTTGCGTATGTCAAAATCCGAATCCTTGCTTTCTAACGTAAAGCTATGTGATATTTCCTTTCTAGGTGTCGTTCCCTCCTCATCAGCTTCAAACCAACAGCAGCAACCCCCGTTGAGGCTCCTGGGTCCATCCCAGCAGCAACAGCAGAACCATCATTTACAGCAACAGTCCAACTCTATGAACACATTTCTACGCACCGAAGTTGCTCGACAACTTATGCTTCTCGGCTTCCACGACGAGGCGGGCGTCCTCATCTCTGATTCCAGTGGTTATGAAGATGTGGAGAAGTTCCTCTGTGCGTTTTTTGACTTTTCTCTTTATCTAATCTTTGAGTTCTCATAGTTGATGTTCGTCCATAATCGAAATGGAATTTTAGATCAACGAAGGTCTAAGTGGCAATATTTGGGACATTTTACATCTGGCAGAAATTGTTTTAGCTCAGTTAATTCTCGCCTCTTATAAGGCGGTGTAAATTTATAGTTTTTTGCGCCAGTTCGTTTACCAGGCATTTAAATTGTTATCCCTTATGAGAGCAATCGTGTTTTATTTTCGGCCAAATCAGGTAGATGGTAACTCTGGTGCAACTTTGACTTAACGTATCGTGTCGTCTTCAAACACGAATACTTAAATATTGCTTACTCCTTACCTCAATTTAAAAAGTACATACAAACGGCTTGTGAGTTTGTGAGGACGTTTCAGGTCAGGGTCTTATGATAAGGCGATGTGTTATGTTCAAAGTATATGTATACTTGTTGTTGTTGGTCCAGAAAACTAAAGGTTCACTTGGGTTGTTTTTATTGAAAAATAATTTGGTTAATATTGCGATTAGATTGAAGTCTATTTTTAGAAGTCATAATTTAGATGTGTGCTGATATAGTTACTCACGTTTTGCTTTCAATTACTTTTCTCGGACCAATTTACTTATGATATTATGCTAACTAATTGGTAGCTGTACTTATTTTATGCTAAATCAACTTGATGTGTTTTATGTCATGTGTCTGGACAGAAAAGGCTGTTCTTATCAGTGGCATGAACTGATTGTGTGAATAACAATATCGCTTATAATGGAATTGGAAGGTGAAATAAAAACCTTCGAATTTAAATAGAGGGATTTTTATCAGGAATAGTGTTTGCTTTATCTTCATCCTTATATTTCGTTTCAGGTACGCCTGAGCGTCACATCCGATTGAAGCCTGTGGTTGTAGATATCAAATTCTGACTGATTTCGTGTATTTTTAAGTTCCTAACAGCTTTATCATATCCGCTTTTAGCATAACTTATTTCTAGTTAAGGTGATTTAAATTACTGTTTATTTATGCTGTCTAGATAGTGTTTGCGCTTATAGAAATAGACCTTAATTAGTCCTATTTTGCAATAAATATTGATGTTTCTTTTACAGATGACCTCCGTGATAGTACAGGTGGCATGAATCCCGGTTTGAACCAGCTCATCGGCAATGTTAACGCCTATCTCATGTCTTCAGGCGTAAACGATTTTCAATCATCAATGGGTGGTGGTATACCTCAACCACCACCGCCAGGGCCTCCCTTTGATCTCTTTGATAACCGCCTTGGTGGCGGCTCCGGTGGTTTCCACATGGGAAAGCTCCAACCACCCCCACCTCCCTCTAATTTCTCCAGTCGCCAAAATCCTTCCGAGGTGCTTAGCCAACTATTTATACGAGAAAGTCATCTACAGGCCACAATCTTTCAGTTGGATAAGAAAAAGAGGGTAAGATAGTTCTGAATATGACCCAATTCGGCTAACAGAACGTGCAACGAATAATTAAGTGGGGTAGACCAGAAGGCGTTCATTAACTTTTTTTGGGTTGTGTTGCACAATATTTTCACACTCCAAAGTTTGAATTTCATTATTTATCCTCATGGTTGTAGAAGTTGCTCCTTTTTGACATTCAGTGGGTTTACCCAGTGTTTGGAATCAATGAGTCCATCTCACTACTTCGTGTTTTCTGATGTTTGAGGAGGCAGAAGGATCTCTTGTGGTATTCGGCGGTTTTCAGTTTCGACATGGCACAGAAGAGATGCTTAAGTATTTATGCTATCATAGCTCCATAAATGGTGTTAGTTGTCTCGTCTTGTACTAGATTGGTAGTAGAAACATGCTTGACAATGGAGAAAAGTCGAACATATCAAAGTCGATGTACACGTCGCTGAGAGCCCGGAAATTACAAAATAAAGTCCCTTAAGGATTAGGAATCGGAGTTTAGTTTGTCGAGTTGAATAGAAGGGTTGGTACCCCTTTCGTTAACCAATTAGTATTGGCTAAAATTGTCTACTCTTTCCACGTGGCTTTATTTCTACTTAAAAGCTTTCGTCAACTTTTTTATTGTTCACTATCAGTTTAAAAGGCTATGTTGCGACGTGATGTAATCCGTCATGTGCAGAGTGGCAATTAACGGTACATTTATGGCTCTTGGCAAAATTAATAAGAATATGCTTCCTTTATTATTGGTGCATTATAACACATACGGTGAGGGCTTTTTAATACTTTGTCAAGTGTGAAAACTGTTTAAGTATGTACGGCTATTGTAATTGCGATAAGGACTGCAGAATTGGCAATTTTTTTAATTAGCTGAAGCATCTGAAGTCGAATACTAGTAGTATCTTTTCTTCCCTTTGTAGGAGTTAGGTATGAAGCATTCGCAGATTCGGAAGATGAACATGGGTGGACCAACATCACATCACTCCTCCTCAATGCTTCAGGAAATTCTCATGCAACAGGCTCAAATCTCCCAGCAAATCGAAGCTCATGAAACCCAGTTGAATCAAGTGCGTTTTCAAATTACCTGCTTCTCTCGCGTCGCTTCTGGTGGTGGCGGAAACGGGGGAGGAATTAACAATGACTCCAATGCTAATGTAGCTATGTTGATGCGTCTTCGGGGTGGAGGACCTGGTGGACCAGGAGCACAATTTCAACCCAACCGGATAATGGGAGGCGGTGGCAACAATCCCTTGGCAGGTGCTGCTTATAGTGGCGGCGGGCTAATGATGAATGCATCCTCTCCTTCAGCTGACTTGGCTCCAAGGCTAGCTGATCTTAAACTCTCCATGGGTAAGCATTTGGTAATGAGAATATGATCTAGGGTCCAACTTGTTGGAGGATTGTAGTCCTTAAATACTCGTGCTTCACATTTAGTTGCCAACTCGATTTTACACTAGCGCTTCAATCGATTTTGAGTGTAAGATGTTGGAGGCATCTGTTTTCTTTTTATTTTGAACCGTGGTCCTACAAGTAAGAAAATCATTACAGACTAGTGGTTTTCATTCATTTGTCCTGGCCATGATTCAATAAGCTACCTTTGCAACTCTGCTAGAACTATGTTTATAATTTGTCGGTTAAGCGGTCCCAAATGAACTTAAATAAGCATAGCCTAAATCAATGGTTAGTTATTTCATTTTTTAGTGTGTGTTTTTGCACTCATTTGCTTGATCTTATCACTAAAATAGCTTAAGTATGAAAAGGGGTTAGTTTAATCTTACCGATAAAGGGTAGAAAAGTCGTGCCTAACTGCCATCCTTTTCGATTACTAGAA